CATTTAAAAAAAATTAAAAAATTTGTAATACACAAAAACAATCAAAAAATTCGAAAAATTTTATTCTTGAGAAAACATCACATTTTTATGGCACTTTATCATTCATCAATTAGTTTTTCCAACAAATAAACATATTATACATATAAAAAAGCTGTATGACATTCACCTAAAAGAAGATAATTTATAACCTAAATACACAGTGCGCCAGAACTCGCGCCCCAGAGAAAAATGCCATATGTAAGGTAAGATACCAGGAACATGGGAAAAATGTGAAAAAAAATTCTCTCTATAAATATTTCGAAGTTATGAGAGTTTAAATTTTGCACTTTGACTCTTTTATTTCTGTTGGAAAAATAATTTTTTCAAGTTTTTTTGCTACAGGCTATTAGAAGAAGAAACAAGGAAGCTGTATCCTAAATTGTAACTCTGTTTCATGTTATGCGTGGCTTTTATTGGTATAATTTTTGTACCTTTACTAAATAATTATAAAAAAATATATACAAGATCATCAGTATCATCAAATAGACATAAAAAATGTCAAATGTCAAAAAATAAATGTCAAATTTTTTCAACTTTTTTACCATGTTTCTGGTATCTTACTTAACATGGCATTTTTCTCTGTGGCGCGAGTTCTGGGGCAACCTGTATATGTTTTTTTTTTATAATTTTACAAAAATTTTGCCAATAAAAGCCACAAATAACATAAAACAGAGTTACAATTTAGGATTATAGCTTTCTTGTTTCCTCTTTTAATAGCCTATAGCAAAAAAAACTTGGAAAATTAATTTTGCACAGAAATAAATATAGTCAAAGTGCAAAATTTAAACTCTCATAACTTCGAAATTTTTACAGATAGAATTTCCTGTTCCTGGTATCTTACTTTACATGGCATTTTCTTTTCTGGGGCGCGAGTTCTGGCGCACCTTGTATAAGTAGTATACAAAAACATACTGTACTGAAATCCTTGCATTATTCTGCCCATTTGTGGCATGTAATATTTTAGGTCTCTTTTAGTCATGTAACGATGCAATCGGTGACATTTACTTATAAGAATTGGAAATTGCAATACACTTTGGAGTCTAATTTAGGATTTTAGTGAACTATCGCAAAACCTATATCCTACATAAACTTACTTAGATGAACACAGAGTTTTTATGAAGTAATAAAATGAAAGCTTTATGCAATCTGATTTTAAATAGAAATAAACAAAGAACAGTTTAGTTACGTTAATGTAACTATTGTAAAACAAATGGTTTTGTTCTCGAAAGGAACAGGATATATTCATGTACACAAGAGGAAATCACGTTTATCTTTCGCCTTTTATGAGGGTTTGAACTCTATATTTCTACATAACGGAATTGAAAATCAATTACTGTGTCCATTATACAGGGTGTGTCAGAGAAAAATTTCAAGTAAGATAAGATACCAGAAACATGGAAAAAACTCTGTCAAAAATTTATAACATTTATTTTTTTAACATTTCACATTTTTTATTTATACTTAATGATACTGATGATGTTGTATGTGGTTTTTTATTTAGTAAAGGTACAAAAATTTTGCCACAAATAACATAAAACAGAGTTACAATTTAGGATACAGCTTTCTTGTTTCCTCTTCTAATAGCCTGTAGCACAAAAACGTGAAAAATTATTTTTCCAACAGAATTTGTTGATATTTTTTCTATGTTCCTGGTATCTTACCTTACCTTACATTTTCCTTTGGGGTGCAAGTTCTGGCGCACCCTGTATTATTAATGAAAATGTCGTTCAAAATTTCTGACCTTTTACACATACTACACCACAAGAAATAATTAAATTTGTGAAATAAAAGTAAAAATTTATTCATTAAAAACACAAATCCATAATAACAATGGGATAAGGAGACAGTGAACTCGCTTATAATCCCACGGATAATAAAAAAATACAGTAAAACGGTGTGAACATCCATCACATTAATACAATAATGAAGATCGAAAGTCATTAGAAAAATAATGCGTAAGTGGGTAAGTACGCATATTAAATTAATCTCTAGCAGCTTATACAGGGTGTTGCTTAATATTGCAAAAATTGCAATCATATATTCTTCATCGAAAAATAACACTAATGAAAAAATAAAAATATCTAGTGAGTAAGAGGAAATTTTTTTTTATGAAAATAACTCAAGTGGTTTCTAAGGAAATAATTTTTATTATGAAACTTTATTGCCCTATATATCCGTTATGAAGCTTTATAGGACTATCATTTATTTGACAAATTATTAAAAGAACACCCCGTATATTCACTTTAAAAGTCGCACTTTCTCTAATGGTCTCAAGTTTCACGTTTCGAAATACATTCCATTATTGTTTGGGTGTCTATATTTATATGTAACTTTGTAAAATTCAAATTGCATCACAAAATGATCAAAATCACGTTGAAATTAATTAACGATGCTAAGACACCAACATTTTCTTGTTAACCTGCTTTAAAAATTGTGACAACTATTAAAAAAACATCTAGTTTTGTTCATGTTGTAACATATTTGCCATTATTTCGATAGAAATAGTTGCAAGGCACGTGGATATGAAAGAATTTATTAATTAATGTTTATTGGTAGGTATAATACACAAATGTTTGGAATATTTTAAAAATCGTTTCTATTCATGTTTTTTCATAAAACATACAGGGATGCGCCAGAACTCGCGCCCCAGAAAAGAATGCCATGTAAAGTAAGATACCAGGAATATAGAAAAAATATTAAAATTTAAAAATTTCGAAGTTATGAGAGTCTAAATTTTGCACTTTGACTCCATTTATTAATTTTCCAAGTTTTTTTGCTACAGACTACTTATTAGAAGAGAAATCAGGAAAGCTGTATCGTAAATTGTAACTCTGTTTAATGTTATTTGTGGCTTTTATTGACAAATTTTTGTATCTTTACTAAATAATTTTTTAAAAAACATATACAAGATCATCAATATCATTAATCGACAAAAAAATGTCATGAAAATTTTTTGACAAATACAGGTGACAGATAAGTGAAAGGTATAATTTTTTAAAAATTTTTTCCATGTTCCTGGTATCCTATCTTACTTGAAAATTTTCTCTGGGGCGCGAGTTCTGACGCACCTTGTATCAATTTTGCGTAATTCAATACCGACAGGAAATTTTATTCTTGTAAATCAATCACATTTTTATAGTACATACTTTATAGTGCACAATTTTTTAATCTAAATAGTTCCATACTTTTTTTACCCTGTATTTTTAATTTATTTTGTTTGCTTACTTCTTAAAGGAATCATGTGTTATAAACGTAAGTGAAGAATAACGTGTTTTTAAAATAGTATATTACAATCGAGTTTGAAAATATTTCATTTTCATTGAGGTTTGTAAATGTATATCTACTATTTTACTCCCAATTATATTTTTTAATAAAATATTTTTAACAACATATCTGTTTCTAACAAAGTTGATGCATTGATGTAATAGGCTTTTATCAAGTGTCAAAAACTGACAGTTATATTACTAATGAAGTAAGCAATCCTGCTTATTACCGACCACGGGATGTAATAAAGTTTTTTCGACCTAAAAGATTGAGAATCAACATATTACAATAGTGAGTGTAAATCTTTTTACAATTATAAAAAACGAAAAACGGCTTTAAAACTTAATTAAAGAAAAAGATGTACATAATGACTTCTACAGCATTATCAAAAAACATTTATCAAATAAGTAAATAAAACTAATTCAGTAAATTAAAATTTTTCATTGAAGCAACTTTAATTCTCTTGAGTTCTATAGAAGTTGTCAGAAGATTATAAAACAAGATATTATTTTGTATTGTTCGCACATCCAAAGTGCACGACATGACTGCCTAAAGCAATTAAAATTAAAAAAAATGACATTTCTCCATTGTGATTATATAATTTCCTTCCAACAGAGAAAAAAGTGTCGCTTTATTCCCTCGGTTTTGACTCAAAGTAAACTGAAATTGAATGAATTGAATCTTTTAAAGGTTTTTTGGCATTAACAAACTCATTGATACCGATTTTTGCTCTTAAAATTGCAATTGAATAAACTGAATATTTGGACATATTATTTGACCATCGTTTCTAGTTTTTTTGACACACAAGTTCCAAGAGAAGGACTTTTTAGTCACTATTATTATTGAATACATCAGTATTGTACAAATTACACTAGAGAAAGTGTTTTAACGTATACCTGGAAGTATTCAAAAAACCTGGAAATAATCCTATCCTAGCAATATGTAATTATTCTCATATTAAAGATCATGTAATAGTAACATTATCACTGACACGCTGAAACAAAGTGTTGTAAAAAAGTATCAAATACTGTAAAAGATAGTATCACCTTATTTACCTTGTTTCTAAGCTATATTTTACTTTTACCTCTGCTATAAATAGTTTTGCAGTTGCCAAAGTAAGAGGATGTTAAATTATTTAGATAGCGTTTCCATTAAATCATCCTATTGTTGGCTAACACAAAAACTGTTGATGCTTAGATTATCGGATACTCAATTTGATAAGGATGTTCTCACTAATTATTAACTAGTACTCAGTAAATAATATTGCAAAGGTCTTGAGATTCAATTGAAATGCATAATAATTATGCGACTTGTCGAGTTTTACTCATTGTAAAAATAATGATGATTTGAGGAGTAACCTCGACATCTGCATAAGGTTGTTAATCCCACTTCAATCAAGTGAATGTTAAATCAATCATGAAGCATTTATTTGAAGAAGACAAATACTTGGTGAAACCAAGCGTTTTTGCACAAATCAATTACTTTACGAAAAAAATAATTAGTACATCCAGTATGATGAAAATTTGATCGTTTTTCAAGAATTAACTTTTGGACATTTCTTTTAGTTTCCGAGTTTTGCTTTATACAACTATTTATATTTTATTCAATTTTTATCGAAAAAAGTTACCATTTTGAAAAAAATAAGTATGTAACACGCTTGGTTCTTGCATTAGTAATTTGGTACTTTTTTGTTTCAGACGGATAGCTGTCGATGGTTCTTCCTCCTGTTTTTTCTAACAATATGGACCAAATATTCAAGTAAGTAATTTGCACAACATGACGCATTTCCTATTATATAATTATGACACAAGAAACAAACTATTAATTAAATTATTTGTCATTAAAGAGTATTATTATTTATACCTAGTTTATGTAAATTAACGGGATAAGTCCAAGGCTGCATTCTTGAAACACACCTAAAAAAATACCACAAGCATATTGCAATTACTGCATAGGTAAATCACTTTTTTGGCCTACCAACCTCTAAACGTCAAATTAACATACGATTGAAGTATGGAAAACCTTTGTAAAAATTCTAATTTCTGATAATTTTTTAGAAACGTGACTGAAGTTCGAGCGAAAATTAATGTATTTTGAAATATTTTTTTAAATCAAGTATTCGCCCAAATGTTAATAAAATTAACTTTTTTTTTAATTATTGACATAGGAAATTCAGTCAAAAATGATGATACTATTTTGTTTGTATTTTTTGAGCATTTTGCACCTTTTTTAGCCAAGCAGAAACTCAAACACTAAATTTTCTCAAAAACAAGATGAAAAATCGAGAGATAGTTTTATATTTCACCCAACAAGGTATAAAAATCGTTATAATGGCTCAAAAAGTACATTATTTTGTCCATTTCTGAGAGTTTTAACTATTTTGCAAAATTTAGTTAAAAACAAACCGATTTTTTTTTAATTAGGTCAAAACTAGTGTTGTTTTTGTATTTTTAAAGCATGTTTTTATAAATACATTCAAATTTTTGCTAAAACTGACTGAAAAATTACTAAATTAGATTGAAATTGATATCATTTTAGCCTGTCTTGCTCGATTTAGTGCGTTTTTGAACCAGAGACTCATTTATTGTGCAGGATATTGTCAAAACATGCTTAAACACAACACAATAAATCTGAATTGATGTTATTATGTGGCTCTTTTTGAGTCAAATTTTGTCAAAAAGATAGGACCAAAAATACACAATATGGTCGAAAATGGTGTTAGTTACAATATTTTGCTGAAACAAACCAAAAAATCATCAAATCATGTCATTATTTTTACCTTTATCAAGTGTTTTAGCATGTTTTTCAAGTAAAAATGTAAATATCAGGTGACTGTAAATAATTTTGTGTAAAAAAAATTAATTTGACAACCTTGACTTTCAAATTCAAACGTCAAACTTTTATAGGCGATTGTCATTCATTTGCGACTGTAATTCGAGCGAAAATTAATGTATTTTGAAATAATTTTTTAAATCGAGTAGGTATTCGGCCAAATGTTAGTAAAATTAACTTTTTTTTTTAATATTGACACAGTAAATTCAGTCAAAAATGATACTACTTTGTTTGTATTATTTTGAGCAATTTGCACGTTTTTCAGCCAAGCAGAAACTCAAACGTTAAATTTTCTCAAAAACATGTTGAAAAATTGAGAGATAGTTTTGTTTTTCTAAATGATATTTCACACAAGGTAAAAAAATCGTTATAATGGGTCAAAAAGTATATTATTTTGTCCATTTCTGAGCGTTTTAGTATGTTTTTAGCTAGAAACAGAACTATTTTGGTAAATTTTGTTAAAAACAAACCGAAAATTTATTAAACAAAACTAGTGTTGTTTTTGCATTTTTAAAGTGTTTCAGCCCGTTTTTATAAATACATTCAAATTTATGCTAAAACTGACTGAAAAATTACCAAATTAGATTGAAATTGATATCATTTTAGCCTGTCTTGCTCGATTTAGTGCGTTTTTGAACCAGAGACTCATTTATTGTGCAGAATATTGTCAAAACATGCTTAAACACAACACAATAAATCTGAATTGATGTTATTTCGTTTGTTTCATTGGATTTGGCTCTTTTTGAGTGAAATTTTGTCAAAAAGATAGAACCAAAAATACAAAATATAGTCGAAAATGGTGTTAATTACAAGATTTTGCTGAAACAAACCAAAAAATCATCAAATTATGTCATTATTTTTGCCTTTGTTAAGTGTTTTAGCATGTTTTTCAAGTAAAAATGTAAATATCAGGTGACTTTAAATGATTTAGTGTCAAAAAATTTAATTTGGCAACTTTAACTTTGAAATTCAAACGTCAAACTTTTATAGGCGATTGTCATTCATTTGCGACGGGCGACTGCTGGGTTTAGCCGTCACCTAAAACATTCTGATATAACAAATTTAGAAGGATTACCAGTAATTCAGTGTTGCCAATAATTTTTTTTTCGGTATTTCGCAAAATTTAATTAAAAACTAGCCAAAAGTTATAGAATTAAACTAAACAAAATAGCGTTACCTATTTTTGAATTTTTCGAGCGTTTAAGCACTTTTTTGTGTAGAGTTGCGAGATTTATGGAAAAAACGTGAATTTTCGAAGATATTAATAAATTTTAAATGATATAATATTGTTATTTGGTGAAAATAGATGTAAATCTGGTAACTTTTCAGTTCAGATTTGGTGAATTTAATTGTCTTGAGCTGGCAAGATTGTTTCTGATTAAAAACAATGTTCGGCCAAAAGGTTTAATACAAATCTAGTGTATTTTACAGGGCTCAATTATTAATTATTATTACCTCAAATAAATTTCGCTCTGTATTAATAATTCTTTACTTGTTAACACTGCTGTTTTTTTACAGATTCAAAGGAGATCCGCGTGGTCTGTTACTACACGAACTGGTCAGTTTACAGACCAGGAACAGCAAAATTCAGTCCACAAAATATCAACCCCTACTTATGCACACATCTTATTTATGCATTTGGGGGTTTTACCAAAGAGAATACGCTGAAACCGTTCGATAAATATCAAGACATCGAAAAAGGTAGGATTCTTACGCAAGTGTGTTAAACTAATTGAATAATAGTCGAATTAATGAGTGGTCGTATTTGTCATTCCGGTATGCAAAGAATTTGGGTTACCATTTCTGCTAAAGACTTGCAAGTTGACCTAATGACTAATTAAAATGACGTAATTAGTTTAATTGGTTAGCTAGCGGCGCGCCAACAAAAATTGTTATTTTGGATTTCTAAACATTTTTTGAATTTCTGTAATTCCTATAAAATATACAGGGTGTTCCCGCTAAACCCATGACAATGATAATTATCTAAAAGTTATGTGTAATTTTCCGGTTATACCGGAAGTAGGTAGCAACTTTGTTATTTTAAATAGATATGTTTTTATTGCGTTTTTGAATTACTCAAGCGATTTTGAAAGCCTTCCCTATATCTAAGTTTAACTATTTTTAAAATATATAGACTTTTTTGAAATTTTTTTGGATTTACACCTACATTTTCAAAATTCGATAATTTTGCCTTTTTAATTTATTTCTAGTGTAAAGTTTAGCGGAAACACTTTGTGTACATATAAAAAATAATCGAGGGGTCGTTAATTTGGAAAAAATGTGTACAACTAATGCCAATTCCAAAAAAATCCACCGAAATTCCAATAAATCCAAAAAATTCCATAATAATTCATCGTAATTCCAACTAAGTTTTTATAATTCCAAATTAATTCCAAGTTAATTCCGGTAATTCCAGCAATTCCAAAAAGAGTTCCAGTAATTCCAAAAAGAATTCTAACAATTCCAAAAAAATTCCAGTAATTCACATATAATTCCAGTAATTCACAAGTAATTCCAGTAACTCCAAACAATCAAAAGATAATTTCAATAATTCCAAATAATTTCAAGAAATTTCCGATTAAATTCCAAAAATTTGTACAACTAATTCCAGAGTGAACGTTCTCTCGAAAATGCAATATTTTTTCAGTTATTTGATTTATTTCTAAATTCCGATTCGCTTGAATTAATTCTTCATGCATCTGGATTTTCAAAAAGTAAAAGCTGTTTGAGGTTGTAATTATAACTAGAGAAGTTTATTATTTTGTTTAAAAATTTCTTTTTGAATCTTTCCAGTAATTTTGTCACAAAATTTCTTCTCTCCAACCGCTTGAATATTAAAAGAGAAACCATCACATTATTTCCGATCCATTGCTTTCAGTAATTCTATTTAACGATAATGTTTTTTAGTTCGGTTCAAATGCCAAAGAAACGTTTCTAAATTTCTTGTAAAATAATCCTAAACCATCTTGTCTAAAGATAAAAAACCTTCATGAGAAAAGAGAAAATTAAACTAGAATCCCAATATTCTCCCATAATTGATAATCAGATTACCTTTTGATAGCTTTCTTATTTATTATACAGAGTGTTCCATTTTTATTGTTACAAATCAAAACAAATGATAGAGTATTCAATTTTAAAATAAAAGTTTCCTATGAACATACTCGTATATTTAAAAACACTATGTAAGCGAGCAACACTCCCTAAAAGGGGTGCATGTTTTAATGTATTTTGACCAATATTTCAGAAACCATTATAGATAAAATTACAAAATTTGGTATAGTTTATTACCTTTATGTCAAAATTTTTAATTTAATCAGAGACGTCCTAAATTGGGAGGATTTAGGATAAAAAGTACTCTAATTATTTTGGGTTTCTTGTCACTTTCAGCAACAAAATTCTAAATCCTATAGTTTTTCATAAAAAAAAAGATTTGATACAACTTACTCTTTTTAAGTAAAATCATTTTAAAATTTTTGTTAAAGTCGTTTTGTTGTGTTTTTTTTTTCGAAAAAATATTTTCAAATTTGGTCGAAAATCATACTATTTTTGCTTCTTTGAACGTTTTAAAAATAAAAACTCAAATTTTGAATAAGACTTCAAGACAAGATAAAAAAATCACGAAATTAAATCGAAAATGACGTTATTTTTCACATTTTCAAGCGTTTAAGAAAGTTCTTCAGCCAGAAATGCAATTTTCTTGCAAAATTTTGTCCAAACCAGTCGAAAAATCAATAAAAATTGTGCTATTTTTGTCTTTTTAAGCAGTTAAATACATTTTTGAGCTAATTAACTAAGTTTTTCGCTAAAACAGACCAAAACTTACCAAATTAGGTCGAAAATGATAATATTTTTGCCGTTTCAATTATTTTTAAGCCTTCTTAGTAAAAACTTTTGCTCAAAAAGGCCCAAAAATTACCAAATTAGATCGAAGCTTATGCTACTTTTGTCAATTTTAAGAGTAAAAGCAAGTTATTGAGCTAAAAACTTTTTTTTGCAAAATTTCGCTAAAACAGACCAGAAAATCACTAAATTAGATTCACATTACCGTTCTATTTTGGTCTACTTTTTACGAAAAATTTTATTCTCAGCCAAAAAATCACCAAGTTAATGCTCCTTTTAGAGCGTTTAACATGTTTTCGAATTAAGAGCTGTTTTTTTGAAAGATTTTGGAAAATTTTGGCAAAAAATGACCTTTGGTCGAAAATGACATTATTTTTGACTTTTCAGTTAAAAATGCACTTTTCTTTTGCGACATATTTTACTAAAGCAATCCTAGAAATCTCCTAATTAGATAGAAAATGTTTTTTTTGCCTATTTTTGAATAAAAATCCTAATTGTTTTTTATCAAAACATGCCCAAAAATTAATTAGGTAAAAAATTATATTATTTCCTTTTATTTTCAAGCATTTTCGAGCCAAAACTGATTTATTTCACAAAATTTTGCTGAAATAAATCAGCTGAAAAGGCCAAAAAATCAGCAAATTAAGTTGAAAAACGCACCCTTTTCAGAGGGTGTAACTCCCTTACATAACATTTTTTGATACACGTTTATAGAAAATTTTTGTCTTAAAATTGAATATTCTTTTACGTGTTCAAATTTGTAAAAATAAAAACGGAACACCTTGTATAAGAAAATAAACCCAAAGATGGAAAAAGTGAAATGATTGATTTGTAATCATAATGGCATTAGTTTCTCTACCAGTGTGATTGAAACAATATAATTATTATTTCCTAAGAAATCAATATTTCATTGTATTTAATAACAATGTTTAATTTCCAATTGCATTAATTACACATAAATTTTCTTGCTTTTTATTACTTATTATTTTTTTAAAGTGCAAGTCAATGAAGAACCACTTTATGGACGCTACAGTTTTCAGGAAAATTTCTATAAAATGTATTTTTAGTAGTTTAAAACCCGGAAATCAGAAACTCACACCAAATTAATTTCAAAACATCTTAGATTTATGAGCATTGTATAAAAAATTATGTAAGGCATTTATTTACTTAAAAAATGAAACATTACTGAGAAACGTCTTTATTATGTTCTGAATTGCTTGAAATTCCATAAAATTTAGTAGACTGTAACGAAAGTAGCTAAAAATTTACGTAATCACTCACTCTCAAGAAAGTAATCAAAATGCATACATATCTCGAAAATTAATATTCACATTGCAAAATTAAATTAAACTTTCGTATTTTAAAGGTGGTTATGCAAAATTCACCGGATTGAAGACATACAACAAAAATTTAAAGACAATGTTGGCCATTGGTGGATGGAATGAAGGTTCTTCGAGATTCTCTCCAATGGTGGCGAATCCCGACAGACGCAAAGAACTGATTAAAAACGCCATTAAGTTTTTGAGACAAAACCATTTTGATGGACTTGATTTAGACTGGGAATACCCGAGCTTCCGAGATGGGGGAAAATCAAGAGATAAAGACAACTATGCCCAATTAGTACAGGTTTGTTCCCAAAAAAGTAATTTTATGCTCACTAAGCAGAAATCACGTTACTCAAATTTTGAATAATTTTAATTGAAAAAAGATGACAAATTAAATTAATGGTTAAAAAAAATTATATGGTTACAGGAACTTCGGGAAGAGTTTGAACGAGAATCGGAAAAAACTGGAAGATCCAGATTGCTCCTAACAATGGCAGTTCCTGCAGGAATTGAGTATATTAACAAAGGATACGACGTACCAAAACTCACCAAGTAAATTATTTTAATTTTTTTGTAACAAATTATTAAATAATTTTTGGACTAGGTACCTCGATTGGATGAATATTTTGAGTTACGATTACCATTCCGCCTTTGAACCAGCTGTTAACCATCATGCACCACTTTATCCTCTTGAAGAACCCTCTGAATACAATTACGACACTGAACTTAACATTGTTAGTGGAAAATTTTTGATGGTAAAACTTTTATTGATTTACTTATTTTAGGACTATACAATTCAACATTACTTGGAAAAAGGAGCCGATCCTAGCAAACTTGTCTTGGGAATCCCCACTTATGGTCGCTCCTATACTCTATTTAACCCAGATGCCAATGAAATTGGGGCCCCAGCTGATGGACCGGGTGATATGGGTGAAGCAACGCGAGAAAATGGATATTTGGCTTATTACGAGGTTTTGCAATTAAAATTATAGAATTTTAATTTTGACAGACTTAAATTAAAGGTTTGCGAATATATTAAAACCCAAAATTGGGAAGTAGTTCAACCAAATCCTGACGCAATGGGTCCTTACGCCTTCAAGGACAATCAATGGGTGGGCTATGATGATGATAAAATTGCTAGAAAAAAGGCTGCTTATGTAGCAGAAAAAGGTCTTGGTGGTATAATGTTTTGGTCAATTGACAACGACGATTTTCGGGGAAATTGCCACGGAAAACCTTATCCCATTATAGAAGCAGCAAAAGAAGCATTAATTTCAGCTTATGGGTACATTACATTCTCCTAAATATCTTTTAAATGACCATGAAATTATTGTAGACTGACTGACGACAATTTGGTTTCACCTCCCACAAAACCAATTAAGACAAAAACAAGGAACAGGACCACCCAATCCACTGATGAAAATAATGAAAAAAAGAAAAATACAAGTTCTAGTGGATCCAGGAGACGAAACAGAATTAAAACTAAATCAGAAGAATTGAATTCAAATAGTCAAAAATCTCGGAGGAAAGAAAGCAGAAGAACAACAGAAGGACCAGTTTATAGTAGTTTAGAACTGGTTACACCTAGTTATACAACGCCTGCTCCACCTTCAACTCCAGATCTAGGCGGAGGTTTGTGTTAAAACTATTTCTACATTAAGGGTGTTCTGGCTAAATATCATCTAGGATTTTTAGATTTTTTGAAAATTTATTGAATTTAAACATTCCTTTTCAAAAATCAATAACAATCCCTCTAATGTGGTGTTTAGTCGAACATCTTATCTGTTGCCATATTTAAATCATATAAACAACATCCATGTTAACTTTCTGATAATTTTTCGTGTTCTAATGACAACATTAGATTCTATTGATGCTTTCTCATCATCCACTAGGTTTTATACGTTTCAGAACCTTTCTTCTTATTTTTTGACCATCGTCAAGAGAAAGAATATTATTATTGTCATTGTTGATGTTACTGTTTTCTCTTATATTTGATTCGGATAACTTTATATTTTCTTCTTTACTCTTATCGTTTTTGCCCTCATCACCATCATGAAAGACAGTTGGACGATAAATCCTATATTTTAATGGACCCTTTGTAGTCTCGTCATCAATTTTTTTATCATTAATAAATACAGTTATTCCTCTATCAAGTGTACTGTATTTAGATCTATCAATAGTACGCTCCTCATCTGTTGAATTTGTTGGTGGAGTGATAGTCTTATCTAGTGAGTCTTCTATTCCGTCATTTTCATTGTTGAAATGAGCTGAAAAGGGTCTTCCTCGGATGTATAATGTTTTTTCAGATGCTTCAGTCGTTGATGTTGGTCTTAGACGACGAATAATTTTTCGTTTTCGAGCTGGTGTAGTGGTATGTATTGACTCAGTGGTTGAAGTTAAAGTAGATTCCGTTGGTGTTAACTTCCTGATAATTTTTCGTGTTCTAATGACAATGTTGGGTTCTGTTGATGCTTTCTCATCATCTACTTTAGGTTTGATACGTTTCAAAACCTTTTTTCTTATTTTTTGGCCATCGTCAGGAGAAAGAATATTATTATTGTTATTGTTGACGTTACTGTTTTCCCTTATATTTGATTCGGATAACTTTATATTTTCTCCTTCTTCAACACTAACATCYTCACTTTGTTCATCATTGTCTTTCACTGTTTCAGCTCTGTTGAACAGTGAGCGTAATGAAGCATTTTCGATAAGATTTTCTGATTCTGGAAGTGGTCTTTTAAAAGGTACTACGTTTTCRTTKTTGTCRGAATTTTGAGATATTAATTTGGAACTGGTGGTAGGTCTAAGACGCCGKACAACTTTTCTGTTTCTTAAAGTGTGTCTTGTTGTTCCTTCTGTTGTACTAACAGTCGGAGGTCTAGTAAATCCTCGTATCCGATGTGTTGTATCTGAGCTTGAATTAACRTGATCTTCCAAGATTTGTTCTTTTTTATTCYAAATCACTCGTCTGCTTTTACCATCTATTAATTTCCGAGCTAAAGGTAATGTTCTAGAACTGGTTTTCAATGATTCTTCTGTCTTTTCCGTTGTTGTTGATGAAGGCCGTGGTCTTCTTGATCTTAAAGAATTGAAATTTCTGTTGAGCTCTTTCAGTGCTGCGAAAACAACAGCCGTCAATGACGACACATCTGCAATTTCAGACGGTCTAAAGGTTCTACTTAAATCTTCATAGTTGTCTGAATACAATTCAGTAGTTGTCGAAAATCTTTTTCTTGCACGATTTGAGGTACTAATTGTTGGTTTTGGTTGGTCTAAAATCTTAAATCTAGAAGGTGCTCTAGTTCTAAATGGTGTTGTTTTTTCCGTCGTGAGAGTAGTGGTACTAATTATTTCGGGTTGTTTCTGCTTTACTCGTAGATTATAATTTGAGTCACTCACCTTTGTGATTCGTGTAGATGTTTCGGTTACTGAAGTTGGACCTCGAGTACTTTTTCAAAATGGACGAGGTTCTAAAAGTAAAAGAGTCTGCGTCTGACTCTTTCACCTATACTCTCTGAATTTGAAAATCAACAACCCCAATCCCCCTTATATGGTGTTTAGTCAGAACATCTTGTTTGTTGCCATATTAAAATCAGATAAGGTACATAATTTAGGTGTTTTTTTAGGTTTTAAATGTGAAGATGAAGGTTTCTATCCCCACCCTAAAGATTGCAAAAAATATTACTGGTGCCTTAGTGGACCTGGAGAACTTGGCATCGTTGCCCACTTATTCACTTGTCCAGCAGGTTGGTTTTACTTTTTGTAATTTTCATAAATTGTAATTCAAAAATTTAGGTCTATACTTCAACAAAGCTGCTGACTCTTGTGACTACACTCGCAACGTTTTGTGTAATAAAAAATTATCAAAAGCAACAACGACCACAAGTACAACAACAACAACACAAGCTAGTACAACAGCACGAGTACTACCAAAAATTACAGCGGCCACAAGTCGGACTACAGTCTTTCGAACCTCGACTACAACTGAAGCTTATGATGTAAAAACGTAACACTTTTGTTGCTTGCAATTATTAGTTATTTTTAGGAAGAAGATGAGTACGAAGATGAAGATGATGTTGAAGAAACGAAAAATTCAGAAGAAGATCCTAAAGTGATTAAAGAACTACTTGACCTTATCAAGAAAGCTGGAGGAATAGAAGAGCTTGAAAAACAATTGAAAATTCACGAAGATGGTACTGCTTCAGTTTCCAATTCTGACACAACTACTCCCTCGTCGATTAGCAAATCACTTGTGGAAAGAGTTCTTGGCAAAAGTGCCAAAAAGAATTCGTAAGTAATGTCCAACCAAAGAATATTTAAATGATTGGACATTTAGTTACAGTTTTCTCACCCGCAACAGTCGAGGGCCCCAAAACGAGGGTTTAAACACCTCTGAAAATAACGAAAAACAAGATAAAGGAAGACCAAAATATACAACGATTACAAGACAAAGATCAACAAATATCAGAAACGAAGAAGAGAATTCCTCTGAAACAACAAAATCTAATAAAAAACAACCAGAGTATGTCAATATTAGACGAGCCCGTGTTAGTACTACCACAGAACAACCGGACGAAAATTCAAAGTAAATTGTTTGATATTACTTGTATTAAAATTAAACATCAATTTTTCAGAAGTCAATTAAGCCGAAATAAAATTTTGGGAGAAGATGACGAATCAGAGAACAATGATGAACAATCGAGTCAAAAGAAAACATCCGCACCACAATATGTTAATATTCGAAGACAAAGACCATCAACTACAGAAGAAACTTCCACTTCAAAGTATGATCTCAGAGTGTTTCAAAAATATGTTTTATTATTTTTGTGTTCTAGATATACTGTTATAAGAAGAGGCACAACTACTGAAACTGCCGAGTCAGGAACAACTATTGAAGACGAAATCACTAAAAGCAATGTTGTATCTTCGTCTACTGAAAAAAATGACTTAAAGTCTAGGTAAAACACAATAACTTACTTTCACTATTATAAAAAAAATTGTTCAGGTATAATATTCTTAGACGAGGATCAACCACAGAAGCGACTATAGGTGACACTGGTTCAACTTCCACGTAAGTTTAAATAGAATAATAGAAAAACTAAGCAGTACCAAAATTTAATTTTAGATCCAAAAGAAGAGGCACAACATTACCAAGTGTTGAGCGTAAAAGAACAAGAGGTACTGTTGTTCCGAGTACCACTCCTTTGACAGAAGCTACAACAACAAGGTAAAATATAGCTCATTGCTTCAAATTCATAAACAATAAAATTATTTTGAAGGTATAAAGGCATCAAACGAGGTTCTACTACGACAGAAGAATCGACTCTAAAGTACGTTAATCAGTTTTTGTGCGTTTTATTTTAAACAATTTTTTTAGGTACTCCTCATTTGCAACAACACAAGCCACCAACCAGGATACTACAGCAAACACCGAAACTGAAAACCCCATTACTGTTAACGATCAATTACTAACAACACCTGAAAGTTTAACTGTAAAAACTACCACTAGTCTTAGTTCCACAAAAACTGATTCTAGTTTAACTGAGAGTATTGGTGAAAGAGTCTACCAAACGCAGACTCCTTTACTTTTAGAACCTCGTCCATTTTCAAAAAGTACTCGAGGTCCAACTTCAGTAACCGAAACATCTACACGAATCACAAAGGTGAGTGACTCAAATTATAATCTGCGAGTAAAGCAGAAACAACCCGAAATAATTAGCACCACTACTCTCACGACGGAAAAACCAACACCATTTAGAACTAGAGCACCTTCTAGATTTAAGATTTTAGACCAACCAAAACCAACAATTAGTACCTCAAATCGTGCAAGAAAAAGATTTTCGACAACTACTGAATTGTATTCAGACAACTACGAAGATTTAAGTAGAAGCTTTAGACCGTCTGAAATTGCAGATTTATCGTCGTTGACGGCTGTTGATTTCGCAGCACTGAAAGAGCTCAACAAAAATTCCAATTCTTTAAGATCAAGAAGACCACGGCCTTCATCAACAACAACGGAAAAGACAGAAGAATCATTGAAAACGAGTTCTAGAACATTACCTTTAGCTCGGAAATTAATAGATGGTAAAAGCAGACGAGTGATTTCGAATAAAAAAGAACAAATCTTGGAAGATCAYGTTAATTCAAGCTCAGATACAACACATCGGATACGAGGATTTACTAGACCTCCGACTGTTAGTACAACAGAAGGAACAACAAGACACACTTTAAGAAACAGAAAAGTTGTMCGGCGTCTTAGACCTACCACCAGTTCCAAATTAATATCTCAAAATTCYGACAAMAAYGAAAACGTAGTACCTTTTAAAAGACCACTTCCAGAATCAGAAAATCTTATCGAAAATGCTTCATTACGCTCACTGTTCAACAGAGCTGAAACAGTGAAAGACAATGATGAACAAAGTGARGATGTTAGTGTTGAAGAAGGAGAAAATATAAAGTTATCCGAATCAAATATAAGGGAAAACAGTAACGTCAACAATAACAATAATAATATTCTTTCTCCTGACGATGGCCAAAAAATAAGAAAAAAGGTTTTGAAACGTATCAAACCTAAAGTAGATGATGAGAAAGCATCAACAGAACCCAACATTGTCATTAGAACACGAAAAATTATCAGGAAGTTAACACCAACGGAATCTACTTTAACTTCAACCACTGAGTCAATACATACCATTACACCAGCTCGAAAACGAAAAATTATTCGTCGTCTAAGACCAACATCAACGACTGAAGCATCTGAAAAAACATTATACATCCGAGGAAGACCCTTTTTAGCTCATATCAACAATGAAAATGACGAAATAGAAGACTCAGTAGATAAGACTATCACTTCACCAACAAATTCCAGAGATGAAGAGCGTACTATTGATAGATCTAAATACAGTACACTTAATAGAGGAACAACTGTATCTATAAATGATAAAAAAATTGGTGATGAGACTACAAAGAGTCCATTGAAATATAGGATTTACCGTCCAACTGTCTTTCATGATGGTGATGAGGATAAAAACGCTAACAGTAAAGAAGAAGAAGAAGATTCGTTAAAAATTGGAATTTTAGAACCTTTATTCAGTGAACAAGTATCAGAAAGTAACCAATTTAATGAATCTACCCTAGAAGGAGATAACGAAAACAAGGAAAATCCAAATCTCTTGAATACAGAAGCAGATGAAGAAAATAGCACAGAAGATGATGCAGAAGACACAACTGTAACAACTGTTAAAACTTACATCAACCCAATTCTTGACAGACAAAAAAACAGACCTGTGTTTAAAAGACCTAAAATAACCACGCAAAATCCTTTATCGTCTAGTACGTTGAGCACAACTAGATTCAAGACTTTCTTTAGGTCTACAACAACTGCTCCTAGCACAGAAGAAAAACAATTAGAAAGAAAATTTGTACCAAAAAATTTGAACAAAAGTCGATACGTATCCCATACTGAAACTACAAATAGTGTCAACTCTACTAGTGAAACAAATGCGACAACCACCGAAGTTAATATATCTTCTAGTGATAAAACAGATAATAACACCAATGTAGAAGAAATTGAACAAACTACAGTCAGTGTTAGCACAGATGCTACAGAAAGTAATACTATTGAACTTACAACTTTAGAAAGTATTGAAGCTTTATACGAAGCAAATGCTACATTAAATGGGACAGAAGAAATAGTTAATGCCACTACTGAAAATCAAACAGTTTTTCCAGAAAGCACTACTGAAAATGTTACAGATTTAAGTAATACCAATATAACAGATAAAACTACAGAAAATACCAACTTAAGCACAGAAGATGTAAATTACACCACAATTCAAACCACTCCAATCTACCATCCGAAGAGTACCTTGCGATCTATACAAACTCGACCAAAGTACAACGTTCCGAAAAGATTAACACTACCAGAAAGTACCACAAGATCCTCCCATAGATTTAACCAAAAAAATAAGGTTCAAAGCACGACATCCTCGCCGTCACTCTTGAAAAATAGGTTCATTCAGAAATACACTACCACTGACAGAAATCATTTCTTTACAAGAGAGCAAGTCGAAAAGTTAGAAAACGATGATGAGGAAGAAGACGAGAAAGATGAAGTAGAACTATTTTCTACACAAAAAACACTCAGCGGTTTCACTCCCCGAACGTCAACTATTCGATCTAAACCTAGAATTAGTAACAGACCAGAAGGTTACAATTTTAGAAAATCGACAGAAGCACCGAAACTAACTGAAGATTTGAAGGGTATTGATACCGAAGCTGTAAAAAGTCGGAACAAAAATCTTTTTTCAAAGAAACGCAAAATGAATACACCTTTTGGGGGCCATGCACAAAATCATTCCGAAACCACAACTCAGATCATTTCAGAATCAGTCACAAAACCCTCAACTGAAACATTTGAAACTACTGAATATCTCACAACTTTACATCATGTCTTTGCTGAAACCGAAGTTATCACTGAAAACGGTTTGGCTGTTTCCGGGACTACAACCCCAAATTCAAAAGTTGAAAAACTGATTGAAGTTAACCGAATTGTAGAGGTGCATGAAATGAACAATACAGATGACAAAGATAATAAAGTAATTGATAAGGTTGGTGTTATTAATCGAGTTACTGTTGTTAAAGTTGTTGATGGTAATCCCAACCCGGAAGATAATGAAATTACCGAAACAACAACCGGAAGAAGTGCAACTTTGTCCAATGACAATGATTTTGAAATTGCCACCGTGAGAGAAATCAAAGGTGATAGACAAGATCGGAAATACGAACTGTATGGAGCAAGTAAAGTGACAGATTTTACTGATAAAAATACAAAAGGAAGTGCGGAAATCATTGATGGAAGATCAAACATCAACATTATAACCCCCAGGCCTTATTATAGTACCGAAGCCTCGACGATATCTCTAGAAGGGCTATTCCAAACAGATACTCCCCAAAAATTAAACAAGTTCAAGGTGAATGATGATGAACTCTTGGAAACTGACAACTCGCGTTATGTTAATGTGAGAGTTCTTAAGCAAGAAGAGGATTATATCACAATGAAAGCGGAAGTTGTTGAAGTCACTCCAAAAATTAGTAAAGAAACGATAAAAATAGTGCCGATCCAAGTCGAAATGTCCAGAAAATTAATCGCTCCTTCTGATTTTGTAACTAAGGTTGAACAGGGGGTACCCAAAGTAAATTTACAAATTCTTAAACCACAAAATCAGTAATTTAGTTAATTATTATGATAGTATTATTATTGAGATGTTATGTATGTAAATATGTATGTTGTTGTATTTTTTTTCAAGTTAATTTAAATTGTGTGTATTACAGTGTGAATAAATTTGTTGTAAATAATAATTGCACCTTTGTAATATAAATGCACTGTGTTCTTTAATCCTCCTTTCTCTTTGTGCCATAACATTGGTTAATTTCCTTTTAGTGTTGTATGTCCAGTGAGTCCTTTTCTTATTGTAAAATTATTAATGGACGTTTTTAAATATACTATATTAATTATTTTCTGCATTTTCTTTATTTCCTTTCATATAACATGAAACAATGAGGTGAGGGTTCACGGGCAACACAAAACTTTTCATTTTAAGTTTCAAAAAAACTGCACCAAGTCTGATTGTCTGAAAAAGTATGGAGCCAAGCGGTTTTTTTTAATTTTTTTGTTTTTTTTCCAAAATGATAACTTTTTTATAAAAATTGAATTGCTTTTGTAAAAAATTAGACCTCAAAAACAAATCAAAAAATTCTTTATTCTTAATCATTCATGAATTTGAAAAATAAATAATTTAAGCAAAAAACTCTTAGTTCCATACTGTTTATACACCATTTAACACTTGTAGTAATGATAAGATAACAGACTTTCTAACTACACAAAAACTATTATTCTTTATTAAAAAAGGCAAAAAAGTAAATTACAATAATATGTAAATTATCAGGAATTAGTGAGAGTGACATAAATAATATTAAGTAAAACTTTCTTTGGTATATAAATAATGTTTTTTGCCCACAGGAAATTCAAACAATTGTTAAAGACAAAAAACAAATCGCGAAGGTATCATCTTATTGATTTAATTTTTATGTTACTCAACCGTGACTTCAATTGTGGTATTAATTTCATCATTTATTGGATTACGCTTGAATAGATTTAATAAATGAAATTTGGGAATAACTCAAGCACATCTGTGTGAAAATAAAACAAAATATACGTTTTATACAGAGTGTTTTTTTTTAATATTGCGAAAAACTGCAACGAAGTAAGGTATGATACCAGGAACATGAAAAAAATGTTTAAAAAATTCTATGTGTCAAAAAATTTTGACATTTATTTTTTTATATTTGACATTTTTTTATATCTATTTAATGATTCTGATAATCTTGTATATGTTTTTTTTACAATTATTTCGTAAAAGCACAAAAATTTTGCCAATAAAAGTCACAAATAATATTGAACAGAGTTACAATTTAGGATACAGCTTCTTTGTTTCCTCTTTTAATAGCATATAGCAAAAAAACTTTGAAAATTATTTTTTTAACAGAAATAAATAGAGTCAAAGTGCAAATTTTAAACCCTCATAACTTCGAAATTTTTATAGATAAATTTTTTTAACATTTTTTTCATGTTCCTGGTATCTTACCTTATATGGCATTTTTCTCTGGGGCGCGAGTTCTGGCGCACCTGTATAGATACACCTGATCGTATACATATTTAACAAAATAACAACTAATAATATTTTTTATGGGTCCAATGTTACAATAATTTTAAATAGTAGTTAAAATAAAACACAGCAAAATCGTAAACTTTATTTCTTAAAACAAGTAAAACACAAATTAAGTAAAAATGTTTTTTATTACAAAATATAAATTGCAATAAATACGTTATACAATTTTTAATTTTCAGAGTGGTCGAGTCACAACCCCCTTTTTGTTCCGTGTGGGAGGCCGAAGAAAAACATCACCAGCACTGCTCACTGCTGCAACAACTACACCAAAGCCCAGCTCCAGGCCAACTAAACTTACACGCAGAAAATATCCGACACACTCCTCGAAACCATTAGAAAGTCAAGGTGAGATTCTTAAACTGGAGATGAGAACTTGTTGGAATTCTTAAGTCGAGACTTATTTAACGCAACACAAAATTTCACGATTTAATTTTTTTTATTGGCCTCCGAACTTGGAAAATTAACATACGATTGCCAACTTTGAAAAAATGTGTTTCTCGCACGACGTGTGGTAAAAACACAATTGTTTCAATCCCAATTTTAGGGTGCAATAAAGCAATTTGTGATATTTTTAATCGATTTGGCTCAATTTTAAGGCGAAAATCAACCTGAATCAAAGTATTTCAACAAACTAATGGCTTGAATAAAAGTTTTCTTTCAAAATATAGCATTTTTTTAGATTTTAATACAGAATTATTTCGAAATTAATGTATTTTATAAAAATAATTGCTTCAATTTCAATTTTAGGCTGAAATAGAGCAATTTGTGATATTTTTAATCGACTTGGCTCAATTTTAAGCCGGAAATCAACCTGAATCATAATATTTCAACAAAAGAATGGCTTGGATAAGAAATTTCTTCCAAAATGAAGCAATTTTAACTATTTTCAAACCAATTTTGTTCGATTTTAATACAGAATTAACTCAAAATTAATGTATTTTATAGAAATAATTTCTTTCCAATTTTAAACTGAAATAAAGCAATTTGTGCTATTTCCAATCGATTTGGCTTAATTTGAAGCCGGGAATCAACCTGAATCAAAGTATTTCAACAAACAAATGGCTTGAATAAAAGTTTTCTTTCAAAATAAAGCAATTCGAGCTATTTTCAATTCAATTTTGTTCGATTTTAATACAGAATTAACTCAAAAATAATGAATTTATTTTATAAAAATAATTACTTCAATCTCAATTTTAGGCTGAAATAAAGCAATTTGTGATATTTTTAATCGATTTGGCTCAATTTTAAGCCGGAAATCAACCTGAAGCAAAGTATTTCAACAAAATAATGGCTTGAATAAGAGTTTTCTTCTAAAATGAAGCAATTTTAGCTATTTTCAAACCAATTTTACTCGATTTTGATACAGAATTAATTCAAAATTAATGTATTTTATCTTCAATCCCAATTTTAGGCTAAAATAAAGCAATTTGTGATATTTTCAAACAAATTTTGTTCGATTTTAATACAGAATTAACTCAAAAATAATGTATTTTATAAAAATAATTGCTTCAATCTCAATTTTAGGCTGAAATAAATCAATTTGTAATATTTTCAATCGATTTGGCTCAGTTTTAAGCTGGAAATCAACCTGAAGCAAAGTATTTCAACAAAATAATGGTTTGAATAAAAGGTTTCTTTCAAAATAAAGCAATTTTCAATTCCATTTTGCTCGATTTTAATATAAAATTAACTGAAAAATAATGTATTTTATAAAAATAATTGCTTCAATCAATTTTAGGCTGAAATAAAGCAATTTGTGATATTTTAATCAATTTGGCTCAATTTTAATCCGGAAATCAACCTGAATCACATAATTGCTTGGGTAAAAGTTTTCTTCCAAAATAAAGCAATTTTAGCTATTTTCAAACCAATTTTGCTCGATTTTAATACAGAATTTATTGTAAATTAATGAATTTTATAAAAATAATTTCTTCAATCCTAATTTTAGGCTGAAATAAAGCAATTTGTGCTATATCCAATCGATTTGGCTTAATTTGAAGCCGGGAATCAACCTGAATCAAAGTATTTCAACCAAATACTGGCTTGAATAAAAGTTTTTTTTCAAAATAAAGCAATTTGAGCTATTTTGAATTCAATTTTTCTTGATTTTAATACAGAATTAAAATTTTAAAATTTATTTAATACCAATTTTAGGCTAAAATAAAGTAATTTGTGATATTTTCAATCGGTTTGGCTCAATTTTAAGCCGAAAAAAACACCAGCTTTCAAACTATTTTTAAAATATTTCCTTTTATACAGGGTGTCCCAAGTTTTAGGGGCGGCGCAGAAATTGATATTTCTAATTAAAAAACTTTGCTAGTGCAGTGGTAGAGGATTATATGGACTTCAATTTGATGCTTTAATATTGTTCAAAATTTTTAGCGTGTCATCGAGATCCTAAAAACCAAATTTGGAATTTTTTTTTTCTTAATTAAAAATATCTAAAAAGTGACATAATATCAACAAAAAACAAACATACAATTTTAAATCAAGTTGCGAATTTTGTATTTTTTGTCAATCAAAATATTTTCAGTTTTAATAAATGGGATTATTCCATAATTTTTCCACTCTCTGAATATCGTGCGTGAAATTAATATCGCCCTGTAAAATGTCAGTTACCACTGTGAATAATGTAAATAACTATTCCTAATTTCAGTTTAAAGTTAACGAGAGGTTGATTATGTCGTTGTTAATTGGTGGATTACATAAAAGTGCCGCTTTTACGAATTTCCTCATCACGTAACCATTCAAGTATTTAATTTGCATATTTGCTATTGTTTAGGTGTTACAGAAATAATTTGCATTAAATTGCTATCGATTGCTTATTTTTATTGTTTTCCAAAGTGATTGTTTTAGGAATGAAACTCGCATTTATTATTAAATTAATATTAGAAAATTACAATTTTTTTATTAAACTTTGAAAGTAATCATGATTTCACTTTCACTAATGCTGACACGCCTAAGTATAAACAGCACGTGTCGTATTGGAAAATAAAAAAATACATTACAATTTTAATAAATAACAATAAACGCACAAAAAGAGAATTTATTGCTTCAGGGCTACATTTGTCTTGTAAATAATGCATGTCACAAAAAAATAAGAACTTATGAATTAAAGCTGAAAAAATTGCGAGAATTCTGTTATTGATTTCTTGTTTCCCAAATAGAAGTTTGCGAGTTATTTTAAACCTTGTGGCTTTTTTTTCCAACAGTGTCAAAAGTTTACGTTTTGTCACAAAATAATAACTCTTGTTTTCAGAAGCTGTAACAAAAGCAACAAAAGTTTCGGATAGTAGATATAAATTCGTCTCACGAAGGCCATTTTTCCGTTCTACTACATCCAAAATCAGCAATGAGCCCGAAGACACTATTGATCAAGACAAAGAGTCAAGTAATCAGCAATCTCTAGAAGAAAATTTCGACGATAATGACACCACCGAACTCGGAGATATTGCAACTGCATTGCAAGAAATACAACAAGCCCCAATACCAACAAAAACCACAACAATTAAGACATCTACTCAAAGAACGAAAACAACGAGATCAAGATCCCGTTACTCCACCACCTCACCACTGCCCCTGACAACAAAGACATTCATTGTGCGAAAAATTAGACCTCAAGCATTTGAAAAAGTTAAACAATCCTTTAACACAGTCCGTCCCCTGAGCGAATACGACTATTACGACGACGAGCAAATGAGCATTCTTGGAAAAATTCCTGAACATAGCAAAGTTTTGTTACACAGTAATGGGGTTATAGAATGTTTGGATCAAGGAAATTTCCCTCATCCACTTTCATGTAAAAAATTCATTTCCTGTGCCAAAATGGAAAATGGTAATGTTTTGGGATGGGAATACACGTGTCCAAAGAACTTGAGTTTTGATCCAATTGGAGGAATTTGTAACTGGTCAGCAGGGCTAGGATGTAATGAGTGATTGATGGGCATATTTTTCAATTTTTATTTGACTGAAACTGTATCAAAAACTCTACAGGGTGTTCTGGCGAAACCCATAATCTAAAACTCGTTTACATTTGTTGTTTTTATGTTAAGAATCGATAAAATGCCATTTTAAAATATAATCATTTAAATTAGTAATTTATATGATTATTAAACGTTTAAATAAAATAGTCTAAGAAGTCTTAAATTGTCCGTTTACTGATATTTGTGTAACCTAACCCCACGCAAGTTAGCAAGACTTTTTGACTCCCGGTACCCTTTAAACTCTCATCAGATTCGTAATATTCTAATTTAAAAGTAATTCCGAAAAATTCTTTTAAATGTCTTAGAATCCCTATAGCATTTTCTGACAAAGGCCCAGTGACAAATTTCGAAACATCCTGTTGCCCCAATGCCATACACAAAATCACTACAGCTTGAGAAGTTGAATCTGTGACACCTCCTAAATAAATTTCATGTAGTAATCTTTGCGCAGCAGCCACACCAACATCTTCAGGAACTGAAGGATCTTCACCATTTGATACAACATTTGAAACTTGCTCTGATGAATAAATAACACCATTTGTGGTCTCTGCAGTCAAGTGGATTCCAAAACCGGGACTTTTACCAGATTGTTTTCCTCTACACTGATCTGTGTTGATATAAATGTCTGGTAAAAAATTAAGAAGAACACCTTTCGCTTTATCGACTATTCGGTTTGCAATAGCAGGGGAAATTCTTAATGCAAATGCTGTTCCTCTAATGCGTTTCACCATCCCACTGTCTAATAAATTGACTGGTCTGAGATGCTTACGTATGGGACATTTGAAAATTACTTCTCCTCCCCCCAAAGGAAGCAAGCCTATTTATAACAATAAAAAATAAATTATTATTACTCATATATAAGGAAATGAAATAAAAAATAATTTAAATGACACTTTTTGTGTGAATTGGCCTTTAAATTAAAGATGCATTTAGACTTCTACAACCTACTTGATGCACATTGATATAAAAAAGAGATTACAGTAGTACAGATTTGTTGTCAACAAGAAATTACCACCTAGGATTTGACGTTTTAGGAAAATTAGGTTTTTCATGTTGTCTGCAACTAGAATTTTCAGAAGTAATTTTGAATTCCTGAGGTTGGTTACCCGTTGTTGTGTATTCTGTCAACCTGCTGTCAATTGAGTTATCCATACAAGCTGACAGGTGACTTAACTTAAATTTTTGAAAATTCTAGAAAACTTTTCGAATCTTTGGTTATCGAATGCAAAAAAAATATTCACTTATCGCAAAGGGTTCAAGAGCTGTGTTGTTTTGAATAAACCCCTGCAAATAAAAATTTTGACCAAAAAATTGACATATGTCAAAAACTATGACCGATAAGTACTAACAACTAGGTACAGTTTACACAGTTTGGAGAGGAGAATTCAAAAATGCAATAAAAATAAGTGGTTACCATTTAAAATTTCAAAGTTGGCCCCAATTTCTCGTAGTTCCGAAAGTTCACCCATTTTGAAAATAATTTAGTTGAACTCAGACTGGTTGATTTGGTTGTGTACAAAATCTCAAATTCCTATCTGTTTTTAATGTAGGTCCTAAAAGAATCACCTTGTATAATTGCCGGTGTTATGTCCATGAAAATTTAAATGAATTTCAGTCTAATTCTATCTACCATGAATATAATACTAGAAATAAAGACTCACTCATATTTAGTTCCTCATCATCGCCTGAAAAGAACCCAACAAAATATCGATTTTTGGAGATCCAAATTGTATAATAAACTAAATGAAAAAATCAAGAACTTAAATATAATTTAGTTTAAGAAAAAAGTAAAGACAATGTTGATCAACAAAAGTTTCTATTCTGTGGATGAATATATGGACTGTGGCTTAAATTAAATATTGAAATTCATATTGTTACAGAGTGTTTTTCTTGTCTTGTTTTTGACCCTATTCTGTAATTTTGATTACGAATAAAGAGATTTATCTATCTAACATCGCAAAAACTATGCATCGCAGAGTATTTTAACCTGTTGTATCGTGTTCAGTGGGTAATTTTACGTCTAAAAAACCATATTTCAAGCGTTGTTAAACTCAAAAAATTCGTCAGTTTTTAGACTTGACCCAATAACGTTTTGTGCACTTTTTTGAGTCTTTAAAATCACTAGAAATGTAAAAAACGTTAAAAATTTTTTGATTTTTGCTACCATTGGAAAAAATAATAATTTTCTATTATATTCAAAAAGATCAGTGTTCTACGATAAATAGTTATCGCGAAAATTTTTGATAAACAAATCAAAGAAAAAAATGAAAAAAAGTATAAATTAAAATCAAGTTTTACACAATAAATATATATTTTTTTATCTATGTATGTTTTATTTATTTTACCTTTAATAAAAAGTGTTTTATCAGTATTTATTTTACGGAATTACGTCAATTCGCGTGATTGGTGTAAAGTTACGAGGCAACCTTCTAACTTTATAAATCTTTATCGTAACTAGTGCCAAATTGAGGTTAAGTCACCTGTCAACAACAACAAGAGGTAACCTAGACATTCAAAATAACTTCTGAAAATTCTAGTTACAAACAACATCAAAAACGTAATTTCTAAAAGTTGAAATTTAATTTCTTGTTGACAAATCTGTATAACAATAATCATCATTAACAATTCCGAGAAAAAAGTTATTTTTATTATTATTACTTACCCCTTTTGGAAATCTTTATGTCAAGTCCCTCATCATCCAAGAAAAACTTTTTCAAAGTACTTAACATAGACGTTCTTATTAAATCAGCAGAAGGATCAATGTTATTATTTGTTACCCCTTGCAACGTCGCATTTAAAGGTTGTTTACAAAATAAACCCAGCATAACCAAAGCTTCCAGGTAATATCCTATCCAAAATTAACAATATTACTTACACTTTAAGATGAGAAAAAAATTCTTACCAATTCCTCTCTGAGTTGAACACTCATGTTGTATTGTGCCCCCATAAAGTAGACCAGGTTGAAAATACACTGCAGTTCCTGTTTCGTTTAATTCAATAACAGAGCCATTTGTAATTTTGTCCAAAAGACGAATTAAATTCACTTCAAATTCTTTCAAACCTGGTTCATCCTCTAATACACGAATGTGTGTTATGCGGATTGGTTTACCACTTAAAATGGATAAAACTAATCTCTGACGAAAAAAATTACTGCCCTTATAACACAAAACATTTCCCTTGTCTGTTGCAGTGGTCATTTTTGAGAAAAATATTTGAACACTATTTTAGGTTATGTAACACGTGTTTTCATGTCAAATGTTATTTTGACACATTGTCCTCATAAAGGTAAATTCACACGGATGAAGTAAAGAAAATTCCTAATAAACGCTAAACATTCTTCTTATTAGTTTTAATAATTGCTGGCGTTACAATTCACGATAAATACTTTTATTTTATACCTGGAATAAAAGCATTTCGTTATATTTCTTAAAATCGTGATTGGCTATATTCCGTGTGAACAGGGCTTGCGTTACAAATACTATTAGTTGACGCAGTGTTGCCAAGTCTAGTGAAATTATTTTTCAGGTTTAGGTTAGAAATTTGATTATTTCGCCAAATTAACAAAAAATTATTGAAAGTCTGCCAAATTAGTTAAGAATAGTAAGTTTTTTCTTACAAATTTTACGAAACAGCAGTCCTAAAATGACAATATACTTTTTCTATTATTCGAATGCTTAGTAATTTTATTTTAGCGAGGAACAGAATTACTTTGCAAAATTTCGTTAAAAACAATCCAAGAATTCATGAAAACATAAAAAATGAAAATCCTATTTAAATAACAGGCAAAAATTACTAAATTAGGTTTAAATTGATGTTAATTTTTAGCTTGTTTTGAGTTTCGCTTGACTTACCCACCTTATCTGAAAAAAAGAATTCGTTTTGATCTTTTTCTTCAATTTAACTGGTTTTTATCCAAAAATAAACAGAGAAATGACAAAATTTGGCCGAAAATGCTGTGTTTTTGTACTAAAATACACAGTTTTTTTACGAAATTTCACGAAAACAAACAATAAAATTAATAAATTAAGTCGAAAATTATATTTCTCGATCGTTTCAGCACTTTTTCAGCTTTTCAAAATTACAAAAGAATTGAAATTGATGTTTTTTTGTTTGTTTCATTCAATTTGACTGGTTTTCCAACGAAATTAAGACAAAAATATGTCGTGAAAGCACAAAACTTGGTCGAAAAAGATGTCATTTTACCTTTTCAAAAGTTTGAGCAGATTTGTAAGCTAAAACTCAGTGTTTTTTTACGAGATGTTGCCATTCCGAATCAAAAAGTCACTAAATTTAAAAAAAAAAGAATACTATTCGAAAGATTTAAATCATAATAATCTTGTGGTAGATATAGTGAAATAGGTGTAAATTTGGCAACATTTTCAATTGAGATTTGGTAAATTTAATTTTTTTGAGGTGGCAACTTTAAGTAGACGTAATAGAATCAAAGGTTAGAATTAGAACAATTTTTGCATTTTTTACTAATAAAAGAATAATAAATAACATAATTATAATTACTGCAATACTTATTATAAGGTATGTGTTATTATTTTGCTTGTGTTATTGTTTAATGGAATTTAATCATTGTTTTGTTAAAGTTAAATTGTATTTAATTTTTTACATATCTTATTTGATAATCCTTATCAATAGTTGTTTCGTCTAATTATTTAACATTGTTTACCCAAAAAGAGCTTATGGTTCTTACGTTTTCATTTTTCAGACCAAAATCCTTTACTAATGTTGTCTTTAATCGCAAAAAAGGCCAACACTGCCGTATTGTCTCAATTCACTAAAGGTAAGGCGAATTTTAATAATTATCTATGAGATAAAACAAACACAAATGACATTGCAATTATTTCAGGAGGCAATAATTTCATGAACAACGTCGCAAAAATGTCTCAACAGGTTTCTTATGAAACCTTATCAGTAACAGTGCCTACAGAATTTGTTTACCATGTAGAACTTAATCGACCAAATCAATTAAATGCTATGAACAGAACTATGTGGTTGTAAGTACGACTTTTCCAACGAAACAGTAATTTCTTAAGTTTTTTTCTTCATAAAGAGAAATTGGAAAATGTTTTGAAAATTTGAACTTGGACGAAAACTGTAGAGCGATTGTTTTATCAGGAGCAGGAAAAATTTTCACTGCTGGTCAGTATACAGGGTGTTCCGGCTAAACTCCACATCATACAAGGTGTTAAAAAAGATTGTAAAATATTTAAGGTAATATTGTGGACCAAAATAAACAAAAAAAGTCTTAATAAATATAATATAATCCACTTCATTGAATTGGTACAACACTAGGTCATGATTGTGTAAACCGCGCTTTAAGTGTGAAAGAGGCTTTACATATTAAGAACTAAAGTTGGCACTAAAAAAGTGACGTTAAGATAGTTAAAATTTTATTATTTTTAAAGAATCCTCTTACTTTTTCTTTGAAATTTTTTGAATTTGAGCTTTCCTCTTCAAAAATCGATAATTTTGCTATTTTTAACTAGTATTTAAGAGAGGATAGTTTTGGTGGATCCATAATTGAAAGAATGATTATTACATACATATTCTAGGTAAATAACATTGTCAGAACTCCCAATACTTATAATGTGGTGTTTAGCCTGAAATACATGAAAAAAAAATCGATAAAAATGTTTCAGGTTTGGATTTCCAAGACATGTTAACGCTTGCACCACAATTAGCAGAACATGAAGATGTTGCTCGCAAATCTAAAATTTTGTATCAGTTCATTACCACCTATCAGAAATCAATTTCTTGGCTAGAATTATGTAAAAAACCAGTTTTAACTGCTGTCCATTCAGCTTGTGTAGGAGGTGGCCTTGATTTAATCACCGCAGCAGACATGAGGTACTGCACTAAAGATGCGTGGTTCCAAGTTAAAGAAGTATGTATACAAATAGGTTTATCCAAATGCCAACACCTTTGGTATAATTTGTTGTAATCTATGTGTTTTAAAAGGTCGATATTGGTATGGCTGCTGATGTGGGTACCCTTCAAAGATTGCCAAAAGTTATTGGTTCAGATAGTTTAGTAAGAGAATTGTGTTATACAGCACGAAAAATGCCCGCAACAGAAGCCTTACAATCAGGATTAGTTTCTAAAGTTTTTGAAGACAAAGCAAGGTTTGTAAAAAATGTCATAAAATTATTTGATTAATCAAAATTCTTTGTTCACAGTATGATTGAAGGTGTTATTGGAATAGCAAAAGAAATTTCCAAAAAGAGTCCAGTTGCTGTACAAGGCACAAAAGTCAGTCTAGTTTATTCAAGGGATCATACAGTTCAGGAAGGACTTGATCACATTGTAAGTTTTTTCAAATCCTATTTCTGAGTAGTCTGTGATCTTTACTGAAAACAATTGTTTTGCAATTGTACCCCTTGTACTCATATTCTTTTAATATCGTAATTAAAAACTTTAAAAAATCATATAATAAATATGTCGCGATCAAGTGGCCATTTAATTTATTTCAAAGTTGGCAGGACCTAGTTCACCACCTCTATGTTGGCGGCAGAAGTAACTAAATTGTGACAGGCGTAGTAGATTTTATATACAGTGTTGCCAGATCAGCAGATATGGTGATTTTCATGTTAGTCTGGTGATTTTGTGAAAAGATTTTGTAAAAATTCTAATATCTGATGATTTTTTGGAAATGAAAAAAACTGTTTTTCGAGAATTTCTACGTCTTCAACCAGAAATTTGATTATTTCGTCATTTTTTTTCAAAAAAGTCGAAAAACCATCAAATTGGTTAAAAATAGTTCGGTTTGTTTTTTTACAAGATTTTACAGTTGGAGACAAAATATTTTGGTCGTCACTTTTTTTTTCTGACACTTTAATGTAATTCAAGCTTTAATGAATGACAATTTCAAATTAATGACAGCTATTATATCTTCCTATCAAAAATATGTACAACTTGTCAACTATGATTGACAGTAGCTAAAAATAAGGTTAACAGTCCTAAAGCATGCTTTACAATTTAATGTCACTCAAGTGACATTGACGACCAAAGTATTTTGTCTCCAACTGTACCAAAAAACACAGAATTAGGACAAAAATTATATAATTTTTTCCTTTTTCGAAAGTTCAAGCAGATTCTTAAGCTGAAAACTATTTTTTCACGTGAGTTTGGCATAACGTGTCAAAAATCACTAAATTGTGATAAAAAAGATTGATATTTTTACCCAACTCTTAGGCTTGAACTTGATTTTTTCGTCAAATTTTCGCAAAGAAAACACCAAATTGGTTAAAAATAGTTCTATTTGTTTTTTACAAGATTTACAGACGCAACTTATTTTCGTTTTTTCCAAACGCTTTTTCAGCTAGAAACACAATTATTTTGCAAAATTTTGTCAAAAACAAGCCACAATTCAATAAAATAGCCCAAAAGCGGCGGTTTTTTGTTTTTTCCGACAAAAGATGTTTTTGAGAGGTAAAACACAAAAAAAGTTCTAAATATTGCATTGAAACAGGCTAAAAAAATACAAAATTAAATTGAAATTGACTTTGTTTCACTCAATGGAACTGGTTTTTGAGCAAAATTAAGACAAAAATAAGCTGAGAAACAGCAAAATTTGGCCAAAAATCTCAGATTTTTTTGCTAGATTTTGCTAAAATAAACTAAAAAATCAGGAAATTAAGTCTAAAATTATATTATTTTTGCATTTTTTTGAGCGTTTTAGCACGGTTTTCAACTAGAAACGTAATAACTTCTCAAAATTTTGTTGAAAACAAGCCGAAAAATCACAGAATTAGGCCGAAAAGCATGTCATTTTTGTTTTTTTTTTTTTTTCAAGTTTAAGCAGACTTTTAAGCTAAAAACTGAGTTTTTCCGCGAGATTTTGCCATACAAATCGTAATCTGGTGAAAATTTTCAAATTGTTCAACTTCGATTTGTGAATTTTATGTTTTTGATCTGGCAACACTGTTTATCTATTAAGTATTCTAAAGATACTTTTTTAGTATTGTCATTTTATTTAGATATGTCCCTAAAAAACAAAAGTCAAGGGTGACAAGGCTAAAAATAACCAGATAGAGTTGTGGTAATGTTTGGTCAAAATTTTTGCTAAAAGCACTGAACAAAAGAAAGACTAACACTACTAACTAACAATAAGTGGTTTTGTTATCTTAAATTAATATTTTAATTATATACGTGGAACCTCTCTCGTGCATGTTTTTAATCCAGCTGCAAACAGAAAATAAAGTTAATAACGTTTTTTTATTATAGGCTTTGTGGAATCAGCTAATGCTACAGAGTGAAGACTTTGCAACAGCAACAGTTGCTCAAGCTACTAAGCAGAAAGATATAGTTTTTTCGAAATTGTGAATTTAAAAAAAAAAGAATAAAACAGGTGGGAGTATCGAGTGTGTTATTTTTTTAAAATTCAGGAACAGACAAATCGTGTAGGAATTCGGACAGCCTTCGGGCTGGAGGGGGAGGAGGAGGTGGTGGATTTTCTTCAAGAACGCGATCACCTAATTTATATATATCTTTTTCTCCTTCAAGTTCGTGCTAATTTAAAACGTTTAGTGCTTTTACTTTTAAATAAAAACAATAAAAATTACCATTAACTGATTGATGTAATATTCGTACGGCACAGTTTGAGTGTGTGGATCAATAGCAATTTCAAGCATTTCATCAAGTTCGTCTTGTGTAAACGGCTCACCATCTTGCGTCATAAGTGTCGAAATACGTTCTTTTGTTAGAAAACCTTTACCTTCATTGTCCAATACTTGAAAAGCTTCTAAAAGTTGGGCAGGACTTGCAGGTTGATATCTACGAATGAAAATTTTAATTTTAGACAGTTGGTAATGGAAGGTACTTGTGTTCGGTGATAATTTGCGAAATGTGTGGTAAAAAATTAGCCAGATGTACACTTCCAGGAGATTCGGGATTTTCAACAACCATTAGAATTTCCTGAATTTCAGCTTCAGTTGGACAACAACCCAAAGCACGCACAATGGTTGCCACTTCGCGCACATCTACTGTTTTGTTACCTGCATGGTCGAAAACTTCAAAGGCGTCGGCAATTCTACGCTCTAGATCGTTATTAATGGGCACTGAAACGATTTTTCTTATTTAAAAAAAATACGTTTTTGACAAACCATGAATTTCTTCCTCTTCGTCATCCAACATTTTTATGAAACGTCAAATTTTAAACAGTTGTCAGTATCCTAGCTACAGTGCTGGTTGCTAGGATCATTGACACAGATTTAAAAATCTTGATCTGTTTTTTTTTCGTTACATCATATTTCTAATTTTCTTTTGTTTTGTTTGATTGTGTACTGGCCCACATTAAAGTCTAATTGAATAAAGAAATAAAGTCGCAGTGGCCATTTAATTTATTGCAAAGTTGGTAGCCCCTATTCCGCCATCTCTAGTGTGTAGCTTGTGTTTATGTTGGCAGCAGAAGAAACTAAATTGTGTCAACAATGCCAGGTCTCTGGTGATTTTTATACTAAAGTCGCGGACATTTAATTTATTGCACAGTTGGCAGCCCTAGCCCGCCACCTCTAGGTGTCTGGATAGTGTCCAGTTGGTAGCAAAAGTAACTAAATTGTGTCCACAATTGTGACAGGAGCTGTAGATTTTATATGTGAAGTATTCTAACCCGAGATTTTCAGAATTGTCATTTTTGATAGATATGTCCCTAAAAAAACAATTGGATGTTTAAAGTCAGATTTACACAACTCAATTTTTACAAATTTACACAGGGAACTTTTTGTAAAAATTCTAATTTCTGATTAATTTGTATTTTGGAATAACTTTTTTAAACCAGTATTTACCTAAATATTTAAAAAAATAACTTTTTTAATTTGATTTTTTAATTATTGATAGTAAATTTAGTTAAAAATGATTATACAATTTTTTTTGTATTTTGCACGTTTTTTAGGTAAGCAGAAACTCAATGCTAAATTTTCTCAAAAACATGTTGAAAAATCGAGAGATAGTTTTATTTTTCTAAATGATATTTCACTCAACAAGGTAAAGAAAACGTTGAAATGAAAAAAAGTACCTTATTTTCAACTTTTTATGTATTAAGGAAACATCGGCTAGAACAAGACTAAGTATTGTACGAATTTAATTTTTTTCAGAATAAATGATTAACTTATGTTTTGTTTCAGAAACTTCAGTGACCAGTGAGTGCGTGTTGTGTTTTCGAATGCCTAATAGACATTTTTTTAATTTTAGTTTTTTGTTTATTGCACAGTGAAGTGTGCGAATTTGTGTTTTTAAGTGCAACAGTAAGTATTTATTAAATTGGTGAAAACTTCTTGTAAAAATTCTAATTGCTGATTAATTTGTATTTTGAAATAACTTTTTTAAGCCAGTATTTGCGCAAATAACTTTTTTAATTTGATTTTTTAATTAAATTCAGTTAAAAATAATGACACTATTTTTTTTGAGCGTTTTGCACGTTTTTTAGGCAAACAGAAACTCAAATGCTAAATTTTCTCAAAAACAAGTTGAAAAATTGTTTTTCTAAATGATATTTTACTTAACAAGGTAAAAAAACGTTACAGTGGTTCAAAAAGTACATTATTTTGTCCATTTCTTAGCGTTTTAGTATGTTTTTAGCCAGAAACAGAACTATTTTGCAAAATTTCGTTAAAAATAAACCAAAAATTTATCAAATTAGGCCAAAACTAGTGTTATTTTTGCATTTTTAGAGTTTTTCAGTACGTTTTTAAAATACATTCATATTTTTGCTAAAACTGACTGAATAATTACCAAATTAGATTAAAATTGATAATATTTTCGATTTGATCCGTTTTTGAACCAGAAACTCATTTATTTTGCAGGATAGTGTCAAAACATGCTTAAACACAACAAAAATAAATCTAAATTCATGTCATTTCGTATGTTTCATTCGATCTAGCACTTTTTGAATGAAATTTTATCAAAAAATAGGACGAAAAACACAATTTTTTTTCGAAAATGGTGTTAATTGCAAGATTTTGCTGAAACAAACCAAAAAAACATCAAAATTTAGTCATTATTTTTGCATTTATTAAGTGTTTTAGCATATTTTTCAAGTAAAAACGTAAATATCGAGTGACTAAATGATTTAGTGTCAAAAAAATTTAATTTGGCAACCTTGACTTTTAAATTCAAACATCACACAACAACACATTTAGAAGGACTACTAATAATTGCCAATAGATTTTTTGTCACTCGGTATTTCGCAAAATTTAATTAAAAACTAGTCAAAAAATTATAGAATTAATAGGGTACAAAAGTTCTGTTTTATTTATCAGATAAAGTATAAAAACTGGTTAGTAACAATATTTAAAATCTGCAAAATTGTGGTTTGAATGAGGCTGATTTAAGATACGTTTTGGATACGTTTTTTAACAAACATTCACAAAATATGTCGAGCTCTTTTAAATATTGTTCTTCCTTGAGATGAATGGAGTGAGAAATTCCATCAGTTTTTCGTCTCGAAACTGTAGTTTGATTAAAAACTTCTTCGTCTTGGGTGTCCTTAAGGAGACAGAAAAAATCAATGTCATCTCCCAGGTATTTACTTGTTGGCTCAAGAAGAAACGTCACTGTCTGGTTTTCATCATCGATTTCAAAATATAGAAAGAAAAGTTCATGTCCACACTTTATTAAATTCATACAAAAACAGTGTCGATCCAAGGGGAACCGGAAATAGATTCGATCAAAAAAGTTTAAAGGGTGTTTGGTTTTGAAATGATTGATTTGTTGACTTCCTGTTCCTTCGTAGTTGCAATAGAGACACATCATTTTTCTCGATGGACATGTAGTTTCGTGGATGCTGATTTCGTCAAAAGTTAGTAATCTTTTACAGCCCTCGTAGCGATTCACACAGGGGAAAAGGTGATTTACGTAACCAAATATTGCGTAGGGGAAGTTGATTTGTTCGATTAGATCCTCGACAGAATCGCACTCAAAGAGACACTGCGAGTGTTTGGTAACCTTAAAAAAATATGTAAATATTTAAAGAAAAAAATTAAAAAAATAAAAAACCTTCGATTGACATCTTCCACAAATATTTCCACCTTCAGGATGGATGCTGATCGGAATAACTGTTAGATATTTGTCACAAAGTCGGCAAGTGTGCGCTTCCAACACTTGATCAGGAATGACAGGGGTTTCTGACATTTTTTTTATAAAGCACTGCAATGAAATGAAAAAATATGATAGATTTTTCTTCACCAAGTCAAAATTTGGGTAAAAAAGTTGGTAGTTATTTCTGTTTGCTTTTTGTTTTTGTACCCTAGAAATTTTGTTAAAAATTACGGTTGAACTGATTTTTATTATTAGTATTATTTCTCAAATTCTTTTTAAAAATTTGTAGAAGACGAGTGCAAATTTACTTTGAACTTTTTATGTATTAAGGAAACATCAGCACGAATTTAATTTTGTTCCAGAATAAATGATTAATTTTTGTTTTGTTTCAGAAACTTCAGTGACCAGTGAGTGTGTATTTTCGAATGCCTAATAGACATTTTTTTAAATTTAATTTTTTTGTTTATTGCAAAGTGAAGTGTGCGCATTTGTGATTTTTAAGTGCAACAGTAGGTAAGTATTTATCAAATTATCAATAGAAATTGATTGTGTTTTTCCTTGATTAAAATTAAGTGGGTATCATGAATGAATTTAATGTTAATTTTTAGTTAGTTTAGTTAGTTTTTTAATGCAAAATTTAATGTTAGTTTTTTTTCTTCTCCTCTCTTTTTCATATATTATTATTCTTAATTGTTAGATGCAGCACGCTTATTAAGTTTATGTAAAGTTTATATTACTTTATTTTCTGTAATTTGATGATTCACCTGTTGAAAAAAAAATAAAATAAAATTGCTAGTCTTTCCAACGTTAACACTATTTGACATTTCCCTTAAAAACAGACTTTAAATTTTCAATATAAATAAATAGTATATTATTACAGAGTAATTTTATGCAAAAATATCACTTTTCTCATTATGTCCGATTTTTGTAAATTTGAGATTTATTAGAGAAAAACACGTATTTTGCGGAAGGGCCGTTAACTTGAATAAAATGTGTACATCTAATTTCCATTTCAAAAAAAAGTCCACCGAAATTGCAATAATACCTACATCATAATTCCATTATTTTCATAATTTTTTTTTCACACTCCTATAATTAAAAATTAATTTCGGTAATTCATTTTTTATGTTCATTTCCCAAATCTTATTTTTAACGCTTCTTCCAAATTAAATAAAATTTCACACTTAAATCAATTATTACTACGAAATAACTTATATTTTTTACAAAAAAGCAACTATATCTTGAAAAAAAAAAATAAAAAATCATATACCCTTATATGTAGGTGAAACGACTCTTGTTGTAAGTTATTAGGAAACATTTTTTAGAATCAATATCTAGGTCTAATTTATACCAAATTTCAAAATCATCCAACTATGATTTTTCAATATTTTTTTCTGAGATAATCTAAATGTATTTTTTATTCGTAATAAAAGAACTGTTAAAATAAAATTCTTTATTTAGCAGTCAATGTTAAAGAGTGTTTTTATCAAGTAATTTCAGTAGATAAACTAGTCTTTTATCATCTAGTGAAATAATAGTTATTTACATATTATACAAGACGATAAAATTGAATTTTATCTTTGAGAGCAATTTAATATTCTCGAAAAAAAAATGAAAATTTTATCGTCATGTACAATATAAAATTTTATTCAATCCTCATTAATTTTGTAGTCAATTTGGTCGATATTTATAAATGTCAAAGTAAAATTCAACAATGAAATCTAATGTCAAAGATCGTTAGCAAATAACAACCGCAGATAAACAACAATGGATGTATTTTTTATCATCTAGACGATAAAATTTCATTTTAACATGAAGAAAAGAGTAGATAAAATTCAATTTTAACATAGAGGATTGAATAAAGGAATTTTTATCTCATTTCATCACTCGTAAATTTTACCGTTTCACTCGTAGATAAACAATTTCTTTATCGTCTTGTATAATAAATAACTATTGATTTATGAATTAATAAACACAAAAAAATGAGGAAAAAAGAAATGTTTAAATAAATAATTAATTTCTATCATTGCTTTTTACTTTAATACGATTGACGAGGCTTTATGCAATATTTAGTAATCAGTTTAAAAAGTCAACTAATTTTAAAACGTCCCTCCTGAAACTCACGCACAAAAGAGTTTTGACATGAATTTTTTGAAACTTTTAAAAATCTGCCTAATTATTTATTTTCTCATTTAAATAATAAACAGGGTGTAATCAGTTTTAATATAAATTTAAGTAATCTGAAAAATGTGATCGTATTTTGAAACCAAAATTTTGTTTTGTTTTTGAGTTATGAGATTTTTTTGTCAAAATT